GCGCTGTATTATAGTTATGTTTCACCCCTTCATTTCACTCATTGACTGAACGCTACAGGTTGCAATTGATACCGATTAAGATTTATGTAGCGTTTTCAGGGACTGTGTGATTCTGCAACGTAAAAGATTTGATTGTGTGGATTATCATGAAAGGACTCCTTGAATTGCTTGACAGATGTGGTGTGCACTGAGCAGAGAACTGAGAGATTTAAAGAGGTTTTATAACGATGTCGTCTGAGATGGATTTTGGGAGTTTTTTAAGGGCAAACAGGTTAACATAGCTTTTGGAAGGGAGTTCCAGTGGACAGGGTTATGTTTTCCTTGAACTTACCACTATCACCTTCAACTCTCCCCCCTCTCAAAATAAACAATCTTTGAAGCTCTATTAGTAATTGCTTATCTACTGTGTGTTAAACGTGTGTGTGACTGAGAACCTGACTTTCCTCATGTTTGCCACTGCTTCAGGGGGAGGAATTTACAATTTAGCAACTTGTAATGTTGAATGCTGTCCTGCGTGGAGGGAATGTGTGTGTGGGGGGGGGGGGGGGGGTGTAGTGTGTTTGGAGAATATGTGGAGTGAGTGTGAGGGGAAGCATTTGGTTGAGGGAGTGTGGCCTGCAGGATAGGGGGAGTGCCACGGATGGGGTGGGGGGTGGTGGGGGGTGAGTGCGTATGCTTTGCAGAGCACAGTTTAATCATGATTTCCTCACATTACAGGGTAAATGACCTCCTCCTGTTCCTATACATCGATACGGTTCAACTTTTTTGCAAACTAATTGCCGTTTCATACAAACCTGCCCGATATTTTACAAGCAAATGTTCTGTTTGCACGTCTGGGAAACCTGCCCAGAACTGAATCAGATTTTCGTCCGGGAGAAAAGTGCTGATTGTTACCTCCTCTCAGGTTCAATTCTCCAGAACTAAGTGCAGGGAATGGAGTGAAGCACAAGAGCTCGTACAGATCAGTCATTCCGGCACTATCAAGATTTGGTTTTCTGACCGTACTTTTGTTCATCCCCCGCCCCCCCCCGCCCCGCCCCGCACCCCTGGCTCAGGCACTCAGCCACCCGTGTAAAACACTGAGACATCATCCGTAAGTGAAAGGTACCGTATAAATGTAGAAATATATAAATGTGCTGTACTAACAGAGCACAAATGCCACGTTAAGAATTTTAATTTTCAAAAGGTTTCACAATTTGTAAAACCTACAAACGATTAGGTGTACTACTAGTAACACTAATAACCCTTGCATTTGATGTAGCGCCTTATCACGTCTTCTAGATACCTTGAAGCGCTTCGCTGAATATACTGTAAAGTGTAGTGACTGTACATTTTGTTGGCGAAACGCGGCAGCCAATTGCACACAGCAGCGTCCCACAAACAATCATGGATTGAGTTTATTTTATTTTGAAGGGATTATTACCCCCATAAAGCAATCTGCTAATGACTAACTACCGAGTTCCTACTTAATGCTATGTAAACAGAGGCATGTGGAATATGGAAACTTGGCCAACGTTTCGTCCTGCCGGGAATCAAACCCAGGTCCTCTCGCTTGCGAAGCGAGTGCTGTAACCACTGAGCTACACGACTTCACAATGCCCCTCATGCGGGGTAGGGTCCCAGAGCACGTAAATTTACAACACCAACTGCTTTCCTTGCTAAGATCTGCTAACGCAGCACAGAAACCTCGATGCCAGCTTTCCTTCTGCGTTCCAGCTTTCTGGAGATTGAGAGAGGTTTGAAAGATTTTTTTAGGTGGAAAAACAACTCGAGGCAATTGTTTTAAATCCTTGAACCTTTCAGAATCTGCCAAGGTCTCCTTGGCACAATCCTAATTGGATCATATTCCGGTTATGTAGAATCTGATCCTGGAATCAGCATAATTATGATTTAACTTGGGTATCGGTTTTGAATCTGTTTTTGCTTTAAGCGTATGTGAGGGAACTGGTTAAAAGATGGAAGAGATCAAGAGGTCAAAGGTTTTTAACTGGGTTCAAAGCACAGAAAATAACTTGGGTCCAATATATCTCCTGGTTAGGATTTTGAGTTTGGATATCTTATTACAAAATGGGAAATATATGACCTCTTGTGAAATGACTGCTGTATAATATATAAAATACTAAGTGTCTTCAGATGCATCAACACATGTGAATTGCCATTTGGGAAACCAACCACAGAGTGGTTCTAAGTACTTAACAAGTCCCAGCATTGCCATAATGAAGGCACTGCCACAGTAAAGGCCAAACCGTGTGACCCACCAGGGAGGAAGGAAATATGTTTCCTCAAGTATCTCAGTTCTTCTGCTTTACAAAGGGCATGTTATTTTGTTGAGTTACATTCTCACAGCATCCTTTACCTCCAGGTGTCTATCTCTGGCGATTTGAATTGGGCCAAAAGATTTACTGAAGATAAAGTCATTTAACGGTTAATTGCCATTTAAGTTAATGTTTAACCAATGATTGTTAGCAAATATGATAATAATAACAATCCTTGCATTTGATGTAGTGCCTTATCACGTCATTGAGACGTCTCAAAGCACTTCATAGGATACACTGTAAAGTGCAGTGACTGTTTTGTGGGTGAAACGCAGCAGCCAATTGCATACAGCAGTGTCCCACACACTGTCCTGGATTCAGTGACCAATTTATTATTATAGTGTCTGAACTCCAAACCACATACTTCACTTGGGACTGGCAGAAATATAGATATTATGACTTAACAGAAAAAATGACCAGAGTACATTAGACCCATAATGTCACAACATCTAAATCCAAAAAATAATATTTTGCCAAATGAACACTTCAGTATAAAGCGATCCAGCTTCTCATAGGGGAAACATCTGAAACATTAAGGGCTGTGTTTTTTTTTGACTTGAATATGCAAAATGTTTTGAAAAAAGTGGGTTATGAAAAGAAAGCAAGTTTGCCAAGAAGCTGGAGTTTGTAATAAAAAACAAATCCATTATGGTCTGGTATAAAATCCTCTGGTATTAAACTTTCCCCATCTGGCAAATATTTGCAATTAATTTGAATTATTTAAGTTCCCTTGTCAAACGTCCGTATATGTGCAACTAACATTCATTTGTTTCTAAGTTGCAACCTAACCATCTGCTAAGTTTTCTAACAATAAACTTAAAGAGTAGTAAAGCTCGGAAGGAAAAGATCCAAGATTATAACTGTTCAGCCTCAGGTTTGGAAACGTGTTGTTCTCGTTTGAGAAAAAAACTTAACACACTTTTTATTTTTATTTTAACTCTGCTGTTCTCTGCTTCTCTCTCTAGAGGTTAGTGCGCAGTTTTTTTCCCCCCTGGAACAGGATTATTCTCCCCACTTTAAGATCTTTGTCATGCAGACATTAACTGAATCCCGTGACATTAACTGAAAAGGGAGTTTATCTCAAATTGCTGGCCAACAATGCTCCACACAATGACCATCCACCTCCCGGGTGTTTGCCGGACTTTGCTTTACGCAAGCAATGCAGCCGCCGTATTTGGCTTCAAAAAAAGTCATCACATCTCACAATTACTTCTGCATTAATAACAATTATAATCCTTGCGTTTTATAAAGCGCCTTATCACGTCGTTGGGAAGTCGCTTCACAGAATATATTGTAAATTGGATCAACTGTGATTAGGTAAATACAGACGTTTGGAGTAAAGAAACTTGCCTAAGGTTTCGCCTCACGGGGGAATCGTTTGTGAAGTGAGCGTGCAAACCACTGTGATACAGGACGCCACGACAGAAAGAGATGACAGAGAAATTGTAAAGTGCTTTGAGGCGTTTTGACATGACAAGAGACCATACAAATGAAAGCTTTTCCTTTCTAGTTTGGGGAAGTACAAAAGACCTCTGAAGCTGATGGAAGATTATTCTTAAATCCTTGCAAACCGAGCATTAAACTCTGATTCCACTGAATCTTCAGAGAAGCAATTCCTCAGCAAATAAATGACTTATTCATAGGTGTGTGATAGTTGAAGAGGAATATATAACCCACAAACAATGGGGTATAATAATAATCCTTGCATTTGCATAGCACTTTTCACGTTGGGTTTGCAAGTGTTATCACTTTGTTATGTATGATGTGATGCACTTGATACCAATTGATGTAATAATAATGCTTTCATTACCAACAACAATCCGCCCACAAAATTATATTTGTATAGCGCCTTTCACGTAGGGGGGCAAGCAGGTGGAGCTGGGAGGTAAGGAAAGGGGTAGGGATGGAGTCGAGGGAGCAGGTGGTCGATTTCATGCGGGTTATAGTGATAGTGAGAGCGGAGAGGGAGACAGGTTTGAAGGTGCGGAGGGAGGGATGGGTAGGGGCTGGGGTGTGATGGGGAGGGGGTAGCAGATGGAAGGGCAGAGGCAGCTGAGCGGATCCCCTCGACCTTTTTTCGAGGAAGTCCAGTATCGTCCAGTATCGAGTATGGCAATTGAGGTGAGGCGTGAGAGGGTGGGCGGAGGAGCCGGTTGGTGATGGAGAAGAGCCCTGGGTTTGGGCTTGGCCTCCAAGATTGTCTTGGATAAGCAAATTGGCTGATTATTTTCGAGGCCAACACAGCAGCCAATTTTCATAGCCACGTAACGGAAACAGCCATCACGTGAATATCCGATTCATGTGAACGAGGATTCATCTGGTCCTCCCTTTATGTTTGCGCTCAAAAGTAAAACACCGTGCACTCAGGCCAGTACAGTGTAAGCAAAACACATGATTTTATTAGAGAATGTGTTAGGTGTTGGTGAAGCTTACAAAACAAAACGGGAGATCTTCGGTGGGCACCTGAACACGAGGAAAGAGGCTGAGGGAGTGAACGTGCCCCCTTGTGGTGAGGAAGGGTGCAGGTCCACCTCCCAAACAGTGCATTCAAACGTGTTTTGCTAATGTGTTGACTTTGGTGCATTTTGTTTATTCAAAATGTTGCTTTTTTTAAAAATTTTCCCTTTTTAATAATTTCAAGGAACTCTGTAACCACATCAAGAACAACAGCTGGAGGGGGATGGCTGAGGTTGAACACAGCTTTTAACTCTTTTATTTGGTGGGTATTTGTACATGCGGAAACGCTCGGCAATTCTCTTCATATACCCGGGCTTTGTGGTGGCGTCCATCACAGAACAGTCTGGGGAGGCGGGAGCCAAACGGCAGAGTGCAACACGTTTATTTTCCAGTGTATCCTCATGCCTTCCAGCCACCTGTAAAATCTGCAATCGCGGGGCATCGCGGCTTCTCATTGCTGTGATGCCTGGGGAAGGGAAGGGAAGGGAAGAGTGGAAAGATGTGTTTCTACGTTTCCCAGGAATGTCGGGAGCATTTGCCGAACAAATTTATTTTGAAATTGCAAAACATCAGGAGCTGAACAGTAGGTAAAGCAGACAGGCAAAACACAGGGTATAACTACTGAATTATCTCCCCCACCCTCTCATTCACTTGTTAACCCTTCGATTATTGCAGAACAATTCACCACTGGAGGCGAGTTCACTCGTGTTGGAGCGATTATCCGGGGTCGGGGGTGGGGGGAGAATGAATGTGCTAATAAAGATTACACGTCAATCTCACATACTGGGCTAACCTGGTCAAATTGAACGTGACCATATTGATCTATCAGCCAGTTTCCGCTAACTGTTTCCTTGGAACATTTGACAAACAATTCCCCACTGCCACCCCAAGCGGGCGCGGTTACAAAGTCTCGGTGATGAAAGGTCGGCAGCAGGTTGTGGGTCAAAGACTGACACCAATACTGACATTTGGCATTTAACTTGGCAACATGTGTTGGGTTGGCAACCTGATAGCCTTTGGCACGTGAACTCCTCTGGCAGCTGTTACTGGGTGGAATTTGATCCGTGTTATCAAGTGAAAGTGACCAATTTAATCAGGCCACTTGCTGACAGCAACATTCCTCAAACGGGATCAATAGCACAAATAAGGAGAAACATCACCAGCCCAGACCCAAGCTGTTCGGGTGGGTGTTTGGTTGAGAACCTGCCAAAGATCCTGCTTGGATCCCGCACATCCAACGCCAGGAAGAAACTTATTGACAAGAGGATAATGCACCAACTCCTCACCTATCAATTAACGTACCTTTGAGGCCAACTTAGGCCGCCCCACGCCCATCAGATCACACAGATGATTTCTCTGCTCCCGGACAATGGGGAGATCAGCATCCCTGAAATGAGGACCAAAAAAGAGCAACAGTCTTGTGAATTTACAGGGTCACACGTACTTCTAAATCTGGGCACTTTACAAAATCAGTCATGTTCAGAAGGCTTACTTAAACAGTTGACAATAAGCCTTTCATGATGCTGAGGGCTCAACTAATGAACTTTGTGGACCTTGGATGAAATTCAGGCACACTCCTCGTGAAGTGTCGTGCGGTAGGAATTTATTCTCCTTCTGAAACATTTGATTTTTTTTAACAAAACACTCCAAGTGCAAATGTGAATTTCTTTCATACTTTTCACGGCGTCTTAACAGTGAGTCAATGAGACTATTCATGACATTTGCAAGGATTTGTTTCGTTTTCCCCCCACCCGCCTCCCCCTTCGAGTACATGACATTAACTGGTGCCAACAACAATACCCCAGATTTACAGATCATTTCTTTGCATGCCTTGGAAGAATAAGGTTATTGTATAATATTCTGAGGTATTTGAATTCTGGAATTCCACTGCATTCCTTCCGACCCGCATAGAAGCAGTTCCTCCATACAGAGTCACAAGCCTCAACTGTTCCAAGAGATTCAGAAACACAGCCCTCTCTACTTTTGCTAAACGATTTTGTGAGATGACTCAGACCAAAAAAAATAATAAAAATAATAATATAACAAAAATACTAATCCTTGCATTTTGATATAGTGCTTCATCGTGTTGTCGAGAATGTTCAAAGAGCTTTACACAATTCATTGTAAAGTGCAGTGACTGTGTATTTGTAGGTGAACACAGCAGCCAACAATATCGCACAGACAGCCATTTTATCTGAAGGATTGTTGGCCAGGATGCTGGGAGAAACATCTGACCACTAATGGCTGTTGAATCCATATCCACAACAACATTTAAAAGGGAATTAAACAAATACTTAAGGTCTCCAGGACCACTGCTGCCCTGACAGAATGTCTGTCAGACATTAAGTCCTGGATGAGAGCAAACTTTCTACAGTTGAACGTCAACAAGACCGAGGTTCACCTGATTGGCTCCCATCACAGTTCCAAATCCTGGACCTCACCTTCAAAGCCCTCCATGGTCTTGCTCCCCTACCGCTGCGACATCCTAACCCCCTATCATCCTGCTCGCTCCCTCTGCTTAGCGGGCTCCAGTCTGCTTCACGTCCCCCACCTCGCCCACCCCATTATTAGCAGGCGGGCCTTCCGTCATTCTGCCCCCACCCTCTGGAACTCCCATCCTGCAGTCCCTCCACTTCGCCCCCTCCCTTGCCTCCTTCAAGACCCATCTCACCCTCCTCTTCGACCGTGCCTTCGATCACCTTCCTTCTCCCTCCACCCTCAACCCTCCCCGATCCCGACCCGAAACACTGACTCTCCAGCGCCTTGGGACGTCCTCCCAACCTGAAAGGCGCTGTTTAAACATAATTTTGTTGTTGTTGGGATTAGAATGGCCAGGTTTAATAAGGGAACTGGTACTCCCCCCACCACCACCCCACACACACACACAATGGGCTGAATGGCTCCTCCTGTGCTGTAAATTGCTTATAATTCCAATATTCACAACATCAGACAATATCAAAAGAAATATGTTATTATTCAATGCTTTCATTGTAAAGTGATTACAGCTTCGAGCTCCCCATGCATTCAGGAGCACAATAGTTTCTTTGGCAGAAAAGTTGATAAGGTTTTAAACTCGGACTCCTCACTCGAAATTGAATTAAAAATTCCCCAGTGCATTGTGAGGAAATCTTTAAGACGGTGGAGTCGTGGAGCATGTGGCTGCATAAGATTATTAATCAAATCTAAGCAGCTAAAATAGGACACAAGCTCACTCAAAAAACTGAAGAGCATTCTTAAAGATTTCTAATATCTGACTTGCCAACACCCGTTAGATGAAATTAACTAAATCGACCTTTCAATTGGTCTGTTCTGTCTCAGGCATTTCAAATATTTGCATTCTTCTGTTGATCAAATTGGCTGCAGTTTCCCTGTCGTGTGGCACTGAAATAATCACATACTTTACAGGATGTCACAACACTAATCTTATCGGCATGGGTCGCTCAGGATTTCATGCAGTGCAGATTGGATTTAAACTAAAATGCTAAAACTCCCGAAACTCTTCTGTTATTAAACTAGGAATATTTAGAAGGAAAGTGAGAGGAATCCATCCAGGACGGAACAAATGACATTGAAAAGGGTGTGATTTGAGTTTGTACAGGAGCAGAGTTTATAACCCTCAGCAAATTACTGCAAAGGGATTTTGTGTAAATCACTCTGATATGGGAGTGTTCAACGGCTCAAGGAGTTTTGAGTGATGTAATGAATGAAATAAATCCCTTTTCAACTTGGATTTCAGCTGATGGTTCAGTATTAACTGCCGATGCACTGACCTGAGCAAAGCACCTCCGACTGCCCAGAACACAGATTCACACTGAAATCATTTCACACCTCAGCTGCACACAGTCTGTGCCACTAACACAGAACATCCCAAGACACTCACCAGTTATTTTCACTGAGATTTGCCATCACTTCATCCAGAATGTTGGGATCAATGACGTCATCGTAGGTTAAAAGCATTTCGTAGAGCTGGCTTGCTGTTGTCTTTCTGATCTGCGCAGTAAATAAAACAGCAAACAACCGTGGGTGAGCTCCAAAAACGCCGCTCAATAAATCTGTCACTTTAATCTACTTTTCTAAAGTTTGAAAATGAAAATAAAACCAGACAAGCTATTCCTGACCTGGAATATTGAACTCCCGAGGGCTCCCTCTCTCCCTTCTGAACTGCAACCATTTTAAACTAATAAATCTAATAATAATCTTTGGGTTATAAGGTACAGTGCCTTATCACGTCATTGAGAGGTCACAAAGCTCTTTGCAGGATTTTTACTGTGAAGTGTAGCGACTGTGTACAAGTAGGGAAATGACTTTTTTTTAGAGGAAAATTTTACCCAATTCTAGTAACGATGGGCACAAAACCCAGATGTACTCGGAATACAAAAAGTTCCTAGTGAACTGAGTGCATTTGCACAAGAAATGTTACAGAGAAACAATGGAGGGATAAGTAGCAGGAATTGTAAAATCCTTACCCTCGAAGTAGACACTTCTGCAGCAGCCCAAACACAGGACTTCTAAATCGCTTAACTGATGTACAGGGCTTAAAGCAAGTCAGGGTACTCTGCACAGGAAACTGTGCCCAGCCATCAATTATTGAATATGTGACACAATGAGGGAAGAACTATTGCAATCAATTATCAACTAATTCATAAACAATAACAACAACAAAATTACATGTGTAAAGCGTCTTTCACGTTGGGAGGACGTCCCAAGGTGCTGGACAGTGTTTCAGACCCGAGCTGGGGGTCAGGATCGGGGAGCGTGGAGGGCAGGGGGGGAATGAGAATGATCGAAGGCAAAATCAAAGAGGAGGGTCTTGAGATGGGTTTTGAAGGAAACAAGGGAAGGGGCAAGACGAAGGGACTGCGGGATGGCGTTCCAGAGGGTGTGGGCAGAGTGGCTGAAGGCTCGCCCACCAAAGGGGGGCCGGGCGAGGGGGAATATGAAGCAGGCCGGAGCCTGCTGAGCGGAGGGAGCGAGCAGGTGATAGGGGGTTGGGAGGTCGCAGAGGTAGGGGGGAGCTGGGCCATGAAGGGCTTTGAAGGTGAGGAGCAGCATCTTGAACCGTATCCTGTACAAAGGTCCTATATCACTGCTATCTCATTTAACAGGTCAGGAGATGCTCTGAATTAAATAACGAATAAAATATTTGCAGAGTCCCTTACTGTATGGAATAGATTTCAAAATCTGTCAGGAAAGGCTCGTCAGCTAGCTTTCTGATAAATCATGTTTTATGAGGATTTAGTTTCTGTCTCTGGACTTGCCAATCGCTTTCCTACCCCGGAATTTCTTCTACCCCACCTCTTTAGTTCTGAGAATGGGTTACCCTTATGGAGTCCTGTAGTTTAGCGGGTTAGAGGACTCGCAAGCGAGAAGCCCCAAGTTAGACTCCCAGGCAGGAATCTACACATTTCTGTTTACCAAGCAGGAAGTAGGAATCCACGACTGTTTGTGGGACACTGCTATGTGCAATTGGCTGCCACGTTTCGCCTAAAAAATATAGTCAATTCACTTTACAATATATTCTTTGAGATATCTCAACTACGTGATAAGGCGCTATATTATATTTGGAGTCCTGTAGCTCAGTGGTTAGAGCACTCGCTTTGCAAGTGAGAGACCTGAGTTCAATTTCAGGCAGAGGGCGAAACCTTGGGCAAGTTTCCTTACTCCACACAGAGCCTAATAATAATCCCTCCAAAAACAATAATTAAATTGGTCATTTTCAATCTACGACTGTTTGTGGGACATTGCTGTGCGCAATTGGCTGCCGCGTTCGCCCACAAATATACAGTCAATTCACTTTACAGTGCGTTGTGTGAAGCGCTTTGGGACGTCCTCCCGACGTGAAAAGTGCTATATCAAATGCAAGGATTATTATTATTATTATTATTATTATATTAATGCAAGAATGATTATTATTATCGTGAAAGTCACATTCTCGCGCTCTGTCAGATGCTGACTCGGCCCTGTGCATTGCCAACATTTAGTGCTTTTACTTCTGATTTCCAGCATTTGTGGTTTTCTCTTTTGTTAAACATGTTACGTTATGTTTATCCACAATGTAATTTTCCCGACTCTGTAACAGTTTTGAAGACTGACTTTTAAAAGCGATTTTTATATGGGATGTTTAAAAGGCAGACAGAAAGCTACTTAGGAAGTAATAATCATAAATAATCCATGCATTTGACTTAGCACCTTAGTAAGTTGTCAAGACGTTTCAAAGCACTTCACAGGATGTAATGTAAAGTGGTGTGACTTGTTTACTTTGTGGGTGAACATGGTAGCCAATCTGCAAACAGAAATGTCCCACAAACAGCCAAGAAGTGAGTCATCAATTTTCACTTAATAATAATCCTTATATTTAGTATGGCACCTTTCATGTCAGATGAACGTCTCAAAACGCTTCACAGTGTAGTGACAGTGTGTTTTAGGAAGTAGGGCTATTAAGGGGCATGGAGTAAAGTTGGGAAAATGGGAATTAGAAGATACACTGGTGGAAGAGGCTTTATGGGCATCATGAAACCATGAATACACTTAAGAATCACCAACTTATTGGTAATACACCAATCAAACCTTTCAGTGAGTGTATTGCCAATAAGGTGGTCATTCTTAGAATATTCACAAAAGAGAGCGTTGGAGGAGGAAAGAGTCCACTTTCTGTCAACATCGCATAATATTCTGCAGGCAAATGCTCCCTGGTCAAGTTTAGCAGTGTGCACAGCAAAAGCAAGCAACAGGGAAATGGATGGCATAAAGGAGTCATAAACGGAAATGTATTTTAGAAAAAGTGTGCCTCTCACAGCTTCCTGTTATTTTCAAATGGATTTAATGACTCAATATTTCACTACAACTTCTGAATAAGTCAAGTTGCATATTCCTTCCAATGACTATGTAACTGCTGCTAACAACTGCCTTAGTAGCCATGGCCAAACTAATGGGTAACCTCTTCCTCCTCCTCTAATAAACTCTCCCCCCCCACCACCCCCACGAGCATGGACGTGTTCAACTATTTTCATGCTCAAAAGGTTATGATTGCTGAATACACACGAGGATGTTTGTAGCGGCGGTAATCCATCATTACACCCTGGGTGTAGCATTAGGAATTTCGATGCATTGATAAAAGTCAGAAGCGCCTTTGTGTTGCTGTTTCATTACGGGTTTTTCTGGCCATAAAACTCTGTGATAATGTCACCTGGGAAAGGATTGAACCAAAGTCACACTTGGAAGGGGTTTAAAAAAACTTTTCCTCTCTCCTCTTCCCCACTTGTCACTACATACACAGTCATGACCAAGGCCAGTATAAAAATGTGGATGAAATTTTTCTGTGGAATCTGCTACAACACGCACCCCACCCCCACTACAACCTGTAGACACAGTGCGCTCGGGACCCCAGGCCTCTGTGCTGCTGCCGGCTGTTTACTCGACACTGGCTCCCCATCCCCCAGAGGATCGATTTCAAGATCCTCATCCTCACCTACAAGGCCATTCACAGCCTCGCTCCCTCCTACCTCTCTGACCTACTATCCCTCTACCTACCTGCCTGTACCCTCCGTTCCTCTGGCTCTGGTCTGCTCCACGTCCCCCGCCCCAACCGCCCTACCATCTCAGCCCCGAGGCTCTGGAACTCCATCCCCCAGTGCCTTCGCCGCTTCCTCCCTCTCCTCCTTCAAGGCCGGTCTCAAAACCTTTCTCTTTGACCAGCCTTCAGCTCTCCTCTCGACTCTCTACCCCCTCCTCGCTCCCTCCCTTCCCTCCCCTCACCCTGACCATTTCCCCCCTCCTCGCTCCCTCCCCCTCACCCTGACCATTTCCCCCCTGCTCGGGTCCTGACCCAACTGTGCAGCGCCCTGGGACGTCCTCCTGACGTGAAAGGCGCTTTATAAATGGAATCTTGTTGTTGTTGCTACTGTAGATGGAGCAACCCAAGACGCGCATGCACTGAGCAGGGCAAGTGGGAAGTGGACTTCGCTTACCCCGAGGCCCTGCTATTGTGATTGTCTGTGTGTTTCTCCTCTGTATGTGTGTCTCTCTCTGTGAGTTTGTGTGTCTATGTGTATGTGGAGTCCTGTGGTAGTTAGTGGTTAGAGCACTTGGCTGTCAAGTGAGAGACCTGGGTTCAATTCCCGGCAGGGCGAAACCTTGGGCAAGTTTCCTTACTCCACACGACTAATAATAATCTCTCAAAAAAAAACGATAATAAATTGGTCACTTCAATTCACAACTGTTTGTGGGACATTGCTGTGCGCAATTGGCTGCCGCGTTTCACCCACAAATATACAGGCAATTCACTTTACAGTATAATCTGTGAAGCGCTTTGAGACGTCAAGATGTGAAAAGCGCAATATCAAGTTCAAGGATTATTATATTATTGTCTGAATAGCTGTGTCTGTGAGTGTGTGTCTCTGAGTGTGTGAGTATGTCTCTCTGTCTGTGTATCTCTGTCTGTGTGTGTCTCTCTCTCTGTCTGTCTGTGTGTGTCTCTCACTGCGTCTGTGAGTGTGTTTCTCTGTGTCTGTGAGACACGTCTTTAGAACATACTGTAAAGTGAATTGACTGTACATTTTGTGGTGAAACACGACAGCCAATTGTGCACAGCAGTGTCCCACAAACAGTCATGGATTAACTGACAAAATTATTATTATTTTTATTTATTTTTAAGGGATTATTACCCCCGGAAAAACGATTCGCCAATCAGCTAACAACCAGTTTCCTACTTACCGCTTGATAAACCGAGGCGTGTGGAGTAAGGAAACTTGCCCAACGTTTTGCCCTACTGGGAATCAAAGTCAGGTCCTCTCACTTGCGAGATGAGTGCTCTAACCATTGAGCTACAAATCTCCAGTGGATTGAGCGGGTGGGGGGATGGGTCCGGGCGGTGTCATCAAGCTATTTACGCAGCGACCCTATAAATCCCATCCAGGCACCGAAGAAAAAGCAGGAGCTCAGGAATGTATAAATGTAAAAGCTGTGGTCGCACTGAAGATCAATGTTCAAGTACAGAGTCGCGAGCCCTGCTCTGCCATGCTGACCTCAAGGCAGGGATTAGACACCTGGTAAAGCAGTTTATGATGCAGAATCCGTGAATATTTCAAACCAGGAGAACGTCACTTTGGTATGCTGGCCATTCAACCAGGGATTGAATCAGGGCAGCCTGGAACACAACACCTGGGAGATCGATTGCATTCCGAATCGTTTGAACCAACAAGGTGCATTTTATAACGACTCTCTATGGGCCAATATGCCAGCAGAGAGACATCGTGAGGCTTATATAATAATAATCCTCGCATTTGATGAAGCACCTTATCACGTCTTCAATATGTCTCAAAGCGTATACTGTAATGTGAATTGACCGTATATACTGTGGGCGAAATGCGGCAGCCAATTGCGCACAGCAATGTCCTACAAATAGTGACCAAATTCAATATAATAATAATCCTGGCATTTGATATAGCGTCTTATCACATCATTGAGACGTCTCAAAGCGCTTCACAGAAAATACTGTAAAGTGGAGTGACTGTGTATTTTGTGGGCTTAGGAACAATGTGATACAGTCAATCTCTGCAACACACACGAGTCTGAACAAAGCTGAACGTTAGTGAGGGCTTACTATTGGGAACGGGTAACACAGGAGGAGCAGGAGCTGGAAGAGAACTTTTTTTCTTATTTCACCCGGGAACTGAACGAGACCACAGAACCTGTGAGGGCAGTTCAAACAAAAGTGTGTTAATTAGATTCAAAACGCAAGTCACAACGAGAATGCCTAATGTTACAAAGTGCCATGGGCACAACTATACACATTAATGAAGTCCTGGCGTGTGAAAAAGACAAGGCCACGGTAATCAGATACAACAATCTCATGCTTTTCAATCCAAAAAAAGCAATGAAACCCCCACATTATTGCTGGCCTGAAAATGACCGTCAATTATCTTCCAACGCTTGCAAATGTGCGTCAGTGCTGTTGTGAGCAAAACATGTCACAAGACCCACACTGGTCCAACTCAACTGATCACTTCAGGCTGTGTTTTACATTGAAACAGTATGTCCCAGTCAGTGTCACTTTAATTGGGTTACAGCGACTTTGAGGAAAATATATCAGAACCAGCTGCCGACACACAATGGCATATGTAGGTGGGTCTCTGCCCATTGGGTCTGCCTGATTTCCAGGTGACTGCGCAGGTGGAGCAGGCTGGAGTCTTTCACAGTGCCGTGTAAAGATGCTCCAGCCGGCACTCAATCTCAGACTGCTCCAAGCTTCCAGTTTGCAGTTCAGATGCTCGGCTCAGAATTTCTACAAAATCAACATGAAGGCTGCATATACTCCAGGGCTGGCATTTGTTAAGCGCCTTGGTGAAATATATAGCGACATGAAAGGCACTATTTAAATGGAAATCACTGTTGTATTTCCCATCTACACATGGGCTCCCGACCTGCTCCCACCAGTCTGCAAAGCTCCTGCCCAGTTTAAATCCTACTTAACCTCTCTGGGGCATAAATGACCCCTCCCCAAAAACACACGTCACAGGAAGCAGCCTGACATAACAGGAGGAAGGTTTCAGGCACTTGTAGAAAAGCAAGGATTCTTTGCGACATACACAATGTGGTAATACTGTTACGGAAGAGAACCTTGAATAGAATTTCCCAGCCTGGATTCTTTTCATTTATAATCTTATCATTTAGCTGCATATAAAGCTGTACAGGATGATGGGACATTGCAAGTGGATACGCGCTATATGAACAGTGAGTATTCAATCATATCCCATACATCACTTTTAAAAAAAATACATCAGCATTTTAAAGCATAATTATAGACTGCAGTATTGCTGAGCTTCCCAGCCGGAGTCAGACAAGGGTTAAATATTGAAGCCCTCACTTATTTCAGAAACAAAAATACAGCTTTCAGGACAGGTAGAATGCAAGCTGTGCTTTCCCACGGGAAATCTGCATGTCGAGAAACATGAGGCAGCGTCTGTACTTGCGTGAACAAGCCCTGGGTTTCTCTTTATCTAATCTGTCACAATTACAGGTAATGCTGTATTTACAACCTGTGACATGAGTAATGTCAAAACTGTAATTAATGTTACACTCTGGCTGTCTGTTAGGAAGTGATTTCAATCCTGTAAGCACATTGCTTTATAAATCTTCATCCCAGGTTTCTATAGAGTAGAGTATATAGTAGAATACCATACATCCGTATACTGACTATCTGTGTGGCTACTTATCTGATTGAGCTTCAATGTGCAAGTGAATGCCAGACTGCAATATCAGCTGCGGGTGAGGTCACAGGGTTAACTATTTAGCTGAGTACAACGAGGAGATAATCTAAAAAAAAACACAAGATCTACTCACACTGAAATACTTGATCGAAGTTTCTGGATGTCTTTGGACTTCCTGATTTCGTCCTTACAGAGAGCAAGCAAGTCTTTAACAAAGTCGTTACTGAGAAAAAAACAAGTGTCAAAAAGTTTACACCACATGGTCTGCAAAATCATAATACATTATAAGATTATGGGATATGTTACTTAGGTAGTTCGGGCCATATGTGCATGCGACCACCAGGAACTAGATGAACCTTGGTCTTTTTTCGTCTAGCATTTCTTATATTCTTATGTTATGTTCTTAATACATGTGCAGCTACAAGGACAATGTCTTCATAGAACTCCTGTAGCCCTAATTTCACCCCTGCCAAGAACTAAACTTTGTTCTAATCTATCCTAATTTGCATCCCAGTGCTAAAAGAAAACATGATTTTCTTATTGATCACTTGGATTGCTATGAAAGTACAGTTGAGGCGAATTCTAACCACACAAAGATAAGGTTGGCCATTTTACTTTTTGGGGGTTTCAGAGATAGCTGTGAAGAGTAAAGAGATATTGTAGTGTTGGGAACAAACCAAAAGCTGTAGTGAGCACAGAAATAGCTGTGGGAAAGAGATAGCTGTAGGGAGCCCGAGATAGCTGTAAAGATATAGCTGGTCTCTGCCCTGCAGAGTAGCTGCATATTTTACTGTACCAAATCACCTTTGCAAACCTGCGTCCAAAGTGCTGGCCAACATATCACCGAATAGATCAAGTTACAGACACTCTGGCGGGAAATGGGAAAATTCCATTGCCTGATCAGTCAAAACTGGATCCAGGGGGAAACCCTACAATCCTTCCCTCACGTGAATCAGGGACACATCTGTTAACATCTGTTTTAAAGGCAGAGCAGCGAGTCCGTTAGATCCACCATGACAAGACTTGAGGGTGGTCCCCAAAATAAAAGATGAGCCATTTCACTCAATTCACTCTCTGAACTGAAAGGGCAACGGCAGGTTGGGCTACAACATTCAGAGTTCGGAGGAGCTTCAAGATACTTTGAAACCTGATAGTCATAATATACAGAATTTTACCCCCACCTCCACCCCACCCCCCCCAATCAATTGATCAATAACTCATTCATGATTGGACTCTAATGTATGGCTCATAGAAACCTTCAGTTTTAGGTAAATTCTTGCCAGGATCTTCAGCTTTTGCTTCAGTTTTTAACACATTTCTATAAAGAGACTCATCAAAATAATAATAATCCTTGCATTTGATATAGCGCCTTATCACGACTCAAAGTGCTTCACAGAATATACAGTAAAGTGAATTGACTGCATAAAATGTTAGCATTGCCTTGGATCAAACTGGAGCTTCCTACTGGAGAATTAATACAAGCTGTCTTTATATTCTCAGGTATAAATCTGATATGTTTAGGCACAACGTGTTTTATTAATTGTAAAAGGCTGAAGGGCTAAGTGAGTGGACCTGCTTCCAAACTTCTGGTCCCAAGTCCAGTGCTCAATTGGCTAAGATACCAACATAGCCGGCCAGACAAAAATTGAAAGTAAAAATGATTCTCATAGAATCAGAAAAACTATTGCATGGGAGGAACCCATTCAGCCTATTAAGTCTGTTCTATCGCCAGCTCCTCCAATCCCATTTCCCTGCTCTTTCCCCTTTTTAAGCTGGATGCTCCTCAAATACCTATTGATTTCCCATATCCACATAATATCTAGGTAAAAATCAGAAACAGTGAACAGATCATTACTCGCTTGCTAATATCACTGATATACCTTTGATCTGACGTGAAAATATCAAAGCATCCGTTCGCCAGCATCTGGTCAAGCATCTTTAGCAGCGGGATTGAAACCCTGAGGAGACGAAGAGCAGGAATTTAAAAGAGCCTTGTTTGTAAGCGGGATCAACAACAACTTGCATTTATATTGCACCCTTCACGCGGGGAAGTGTCCTGGAGCACTTTCAATCCAAAGTCATCTGCCGAGCAAAATGTTCCTTTTAAAGAAAAATAAAATGTACAGAATACCCAGAGCAGGAGTTTGCTATCATAGAATCATAGAATTATACAGCACAGAAGGAGGCCATTCGGCTCATTGTGTCAGTGCCCGCTCTTTGAAAAGAGCTTCCAAATCAATCCCACTCCCCCACTCTCCCCATAGCCCCGATCAACCCCACTCCCCCACTTTCTCCCCATAGCCTGAAAACTTGTCCTCCCCAATTAATTATCTACTTCACTTTTAAAAGTTGTTATCGAATCAGCTTCCACCAGCCTTTCAATGTATTCCAATAGCTATCACATATTTCACGAACTAATAGAATATTACTTGAAAAAGGGAGCTTTTAAAAAGCACGATATAAATGTGAAAGGCAAAATACTGCAGATGCTGGAAATCTGAACTAAAAACAAAAGTTGCCGGAGACACTCAGCAGGTCAGGCAGCATCTATGGAGAGACGAAAGTTCATCAGCCTGAAACATTAATTAATTTTTCTCTCTCCGTAGATGCTGCCTGACTATATAAATGCAAATTGTTGTGGTTGTAATTAGCAATGGACTCATTTAGGAATTAGCTTGATGGTGTGATAGAAGGTTGGTAGAATGAGTATTCTGGAGGGATGAGATCAGATGGCCTGAAGAACCTTCTTCATCCAAACTGATCTTGTGGCCGCTTGAATATGATGCATAATTAAGGCTCCCCAGCAGAACTTTTACATAAAGTGAAACGTTCTCTTGAATATGGGAATGAAGTCATGAAAATATATGGGTCAGATACAACTTGCCTGGTTGGTGTGACTTTTCAGTCAAAGAAGCTAATAACCAAAGGTCTAGACCACTTACTCTCCATGCAATTCTCTCACCTGTCAACACGAAGATTATCCTTGAAGATTTGCAATAACGTGCCACAAAACTTATTCATGGCTTTCAGATTATCACGGATTGTTTTAAGATATTCAAAGATCGACTGAGCTGAATATCGCACCTAAAAGACACAAATAAAAGGAAGCATTTGGATTATAAATGGAATGTCAGTCTAATGATGTCTGCACAATACATGCAGTATAAATCACGGGCAAGTAGCTCAAACCAAATGCTGTATTCCAAGTCAAGTAAGTCAGTATTAGGACCACTGCTCTTTTTGACATACATAAATGATTTGAACTTGGGTATAGAGAGCAACATTTTAAAGTTTGCAGATGACATAAAACACAGAACATAGTAAACCACGAGGATGTTGAAATATAGTGATTATCACCTCAGGATACATTGGCATATTTATAGCAGCAACCGAATGTTCCAGAAAAATTGGGGGTTCAAAGTAACTTTGCTGGATGGGTTGAGGTTAGCTTCTGATTACATTCCAAAGAAGATGTTCACTCCTCTGAGATAATGAGCCATCGGGTCCTTGAGCACAGATGTAAGAACAATGAGCCACAGAAAGAAAAGGCCGCAGCCTCAGACACCTGCCTATCTCAAGGCTGAGAAACAAGCGGCTGTGGGAGGCTGCCCAGAAGTTGTCCATATCTCTTTCTGTGCAAAGCAGCTGCGAAGGGTGGGGGCTATCTCTGTGAAAAGGGGAGGTGGAGTTAGAAATACATAAAAGATGTAAATTTGAAATAATTGGAGTTGTGTGGAAAGTCAACACACTTCCCAGTGGAATCGATATTGATTCTACACTATCTATGTATATGTACAGGGGGTGAGGGAATTTACCTCCAGTAAGAAAGTGACCATTAAAAGTGAAAGGGGAGGAGTAGTGAGTAATATGCTTTTGATTCTGTCTGTTGCCTGGTATATCTGTATAAGGGATACCAGTGCAGCTGATTTGTCTGGTTCAAACTTTAATAAAATCTTTCTTTGAAAGTAACGTGGTGTCAAGTCAATTTGTCAACAGTAGCAGACTGCAGGAGGACACAGACAGACTGGGGTTTTGATAAAGTAGATAGGGAAAAACTTTCCACTGGCAGGTGGGTCTGGGTCAGTAACCAGGGGACATAGATGAAGATAATTGGCAAAAGAACCAGAGGGGGATGAGGAGAATTTTTTTTTTTACACAGAGGATTCTTATGATCTAGAATGCACTGCCTGAAAGGCTGGTGGAAACAATTTTCAAATGGGAATTGGAGAAGAAAAATTTGCAGGGCTATGTGGAAAGAGCGGGGGAGTGCGACTGAATGAGTCGCTCTTCCAAAAAGCCGAAACAGGCACAATTTGCCGAATGGCCTCCTTTTGTGCTGTAATATTCTATGATTCTAAGAGAGAACTTATATTTTCATAACAAGCTATCCTGTCGAAATATCTCAACAACAACAAAATTACGTGTGTAAAGTGTCTTTCGCATCAGGAGGATGTCCCAAAGAGCTGGACAGACAGAGTTACGGACCCGAGCTGAGGGTCGGGGTGGGGGAGGGCGGCGGCGGGGGGGGGGGGGGGGGGGGAGCAGGGAAACCGAAAGCATGGTCGAAGAGGGGGGTCTTCAGGTGGGTTTTGAAGGAGGCGAAGGAGGGGGCGAGACAGAGGGACTGCGGGATAGAGTTCCAGAGGGTGGATGCAGAAGGCCCGCCCGCCAATAGTAGGGCGAGGGAGGCGGGGACGTGAAGAAGGCCGGAGCCAGCTGAGCGGAGCGCTTCATAGGAATTTTTGCTATCAAGTTAATGTATACAGCCATTTCCACTAGCAAAGTCCAACAAACTTCTATGAGTTGAATAGTGGCTGAAAGCACGGCCACCAATGGTGGAACAGAGGGCGTGAGGGACATGCAGGAGGCAGGAGCCAGGTGAGCAGAGGCAGCGGGTTGTAGGTTGGGGGGGGGGTAAGCAGGTTAGAGAGGTGGGGAGGTGCCTGTGCATGAAGAGATTTGAAGACAAGTGTGAGGATCTTGAAATTGATCTGTTTGGCGATAGGGAGCCAGTGGAGCCTGGCTAGAGCTGGGGTGATGGGAGTACGGAGTGTAGTGCGAGTGAGAATGTGGGCGGCAGAGTTTTGGACCAGCTGGATCCGGTGTATGGTGGAGCTGGTCAGACCGGCAAAGAAGGCATTTGAAAATTCGAGTTGGAAGGTGACGAACGCATGGATGAGTGTTTCAGCTGTGTCTGGGTACAGTTGGAGGCAGGCAATGTGGTGGAGATGGAGGAAGGCAGTCCTGGTCAGGGATTGGATGTGGGGAAAGAAGGACAGCTGTGGGTCGATCATGGCATGGTAATAACATGAGGGAAGGGGAGATGTATTTATCTAACTGAATGTAGCGCAGTGTGTGGATTCCTCTCTAATCTCTATAGTTACAACTAAATGGTTGTAAGAAATGCTACATCTGTGCTCAAGGGGTTAAACAACAGGAAAAAGTTCAACAATTCTTTTTCTAGGTTTCTATGTTTAGTGGCTGAACTGGTTGCGCAGCTTGATGTCTTTTTTGCATAAGAACATGAGAAATACTAGACAAAAAAGACCAAGGTCCATCTAGTTCACCTTCCAGTATGATAATATCTTTATGAAAGCTACCTGTCGATGTGGATATTTGCCTCTTTCAAACTTTTACAACGCTTCTTAAAATAATAAGTGGAATGGAAATATTCCTCTTTAAAGCCTTTCTCTTTTAAAAACAAAATAACATAACCCTGGATCCTCTCCTACTCTAGCCATCTCCCCCATCAATCTGGTAAATTCAGTCAACGCAATAATAGTCCTTGCCTTAGGCGGTCAGGAAGTGCAGTCATTCTAACTTCTAAGAGAAAAGTGCTCAAAGTAAATTATTTTAGATGAATAAAGGGAATAGATAAAATTCACGAGAAAAGATACAATTTCAATTAAAAATCTATAGTTGCTGAAAGGGAAGGAACATCTCAGCAGAGGTTAAATTCATCAATATCCTCACCACAGATCTGGAACATTGTAGTGAATGGATGCAAGTTACAAGTTAGAACCTGTTGTTTTTTTAAGATCATGGAAAGACAACATCCACCTCCCCTTCCCCAAGTGAAGTGAGCCAACGTTAATCAGGATTCTGAGTCATGACGGGGGTCATATGATTCATCTTATAATAATAATAATCCTTCCATTTGATATAGCGCTTTTCACATCTTCTAGACGTCTCAAAGCGCTTCACAGGATACGCTGTAAAGTGAATTGACTGTATATTTGTGGGCGAACGTGGCAGCCAATTGCGCACAGCAGTGTCCCATAAACAGCCGTGGATTGAAAATGATCAATTTATTATTATTTTGTTTTTGGAGGGATTATTATTAGGCGTGTGGAGTAAGGAAACTTGCCCAATGTTGTCTGGAAATACACACCGTCAACTGGAAATGGCTGTACACTCCTTGGTTTAAGGACAATTCTGGTAACGAACTTGGGAGCAGCTCCACGGCCAATCCGGACTCCCAGCTCATCCATGAATATTGCCATTCCATAACCTTCCTACTAAATGACATTGAGTGCAATGCTGAGGGTGTGCTGCATTGTTGGAGATGCCATACTTTGCATAAGATGTTACACTGAAGCGTCTTCTGTTCAAATACACGTTTAAAATCTCAGAGGATACTATTTGAGAAGAGCAAGTTTTCTGGTGTCCTGGACAACAATCTTCAAGATAAAAACGTTCATTCACTTTGTGGCTGTTTATGGGACATAGGCACTATAGCAAATATTATCACCAGTGTGGCTGAGCAGAAGAGATCAGAACAGGTGAACCTCTGTGAGCCCGGAAAGTCAATGATATTTTATAGTCAATCCTGTCCAGTTATGTGTCTTTTCTACTCTGGATGTTGGCAACCCACACATCATATAACACTGCAATCTCTACATAACTGGGTGGCCTCACCACTGTTAGACCTGTCACTTCAGCACATATTCTTCTGCGCTTGTCTCTCGATCGGCTACAGTCATCTTTTCTAGACAGCGACAACCCACACAACACTCCCTATGATTCCTGAATCGTGCACCCACAGTGCGCCACTGTCCTCAGCATCACCCGCCTCCTCAATTCTCTTTTGTTGTGTTAATTAGAAAACATTTCTTCACACAAAGGTTTGTGAGAATGTGGAACGCATTGCCCCAAAAGGCTGCGGAGGCAAAATAGATGGGGATGTTTCAAAGGGAGAAAGATATTTGTGAAGCTAGGTTATTAAGGGATATGGAGTAAAGATGAGGAAATAAAATTATTTTTGTTAAGAGTTTTGCCATTGAATAAAAGGAGGAGGAAGCTTGACGGTCAAAATGGTCTCCTCTTGTTGCTATGTGTGTTCTGTTCATGAGCTATTCTACTTGATCTGTTGATTCTCATTGTCACATCATACATAATCCAAATGTTTCTTCAACTTTCAAAGATATTTTCCCATCTCTACGATGCTGGTGACGACAGCTCTTACTGATGGCCCAAATTATTATGATCATTAGGAACAACTTTGAGATTGTGTTTGAAATGTTTTTTTAAACCAGAGTGAGTCAGTATTTGGAACAGAAAGTACTCTCTCTATTAGGCTTTTTTGTTATCATTAAATCTTGTTTTGTTCTACCTACCAACAGTGAGCTATCCTATGAATAATATCTGTCAAATAGACAAAAATTCTATTTTAGGTTCCAGACCGCAAAGTGAAATAAAACAATGTGGCAATTTGCCAATTTCCTCATGATTGATTATTAATTTAGGCAAAAGACCACCAATAGCTGAAATATAATTGGGGATACATAGTGGCACATTGTGCATTCATACGGGCCAAACCATAGCAATTTTTTGGTCAAATAAAGAACTGCTAGTGTTGCAGATCTGTCTATTAAAAAGAGTAAATTAAAGGATCCCATTTCCTTGGCAACCAAATAGCTCCACTGGTATAACATTGGATTGTGCCTTGACTCTTGTTTGAACTGCCTCTATTCCTTGAGGGACTTTTTACCAATTCTTGGCAGTTGTTGGACTAATTTTGCACTAGAGACATGTTCTACCTCAGGGGCGGGGCAGATGAAACTGGCCAATGTGTCTACAAGACAGAGCAGCATTGATACACTTGTCTTATTTTGATGGAGTAATGACAAGATGGTAGGTAGGCTGGGCATTCTGGAAGCATGAAATCAAATGGGATAAATGAATGATTTTTCTTTCATTCAAACTCTTGATATTATGAGCAGCGGCTCCAGCCTGCTTCATGTCCCCCGCCTCACACTCCGCACCAATGGCAGGGGGCCTTCAGCCACTCTGCCCCCACCCTCTGGAACTCCATCCCGGAGCCCCTCCACCTCGCCCCCACTCTTGCCTCCTTCAAGACGCATCTTAAGACCCTCCTCTTCAACCGTGCCTTCAGTCAACCTCTTTCTCCAACCTCCCCGATCTCAACCCCAGCTCAGGTCCGAAACATTTGATTGTCCAGCGTCTTGGGACGCCCTCCCGATCTGAAAGGAGCTAAACATTAGAGACATGGAATATGGAATTGCATAGAAAGCAAATCAGAGGGTGGGATTAGACAAGTCAGTGGGGGGGGGGGCAACTAGGTAAGTAATTAAAGGAGTCAAAATGCTGTCCGACCATGCTCTCAAGCGTTTATGAATCTGGACTTGTGTGGAAGCAAAGTTATTTCTGTCTCATTCTGGTTGACCTGGTTGTTCAAGTCTACAAATGGACAGTGTAGATCAAATTCTGCAGCATCAAAAGGCAAACAATATCCCACTATAACCACAAGTGAGATTTCAAGTCTGAATTGCCCACTCTAGATGTTGTTCTGTTTAAAATGAAAGAGACCAAGGCAGTTCGAAAAAAAAAACTCTTCATTTCCTAAACAAAAACCTTGGTTTGAAATACGCAAGACCACACAAATACTATATAATCTGAATGTTGGAAAAAGAAAAACACATTTGAAACTACATTCATTATATATTTTTCTTAAACCTCATTTTGGTCAAATAGAACGCTTTACGTCCAATAGCTCTCTGCTCAAATGTGATGGGGTGTTATTTTACATGGAGGCTGAGTGTAAGTGAAACAGTAGCAATTACAGAACCCTAGACTTGGCACGGCAAAGAAAAAACAGTATTTCAATCTTACTTTCACTTTATTGGATATAAATACCAAGTTGTGTGTTAATCTAAGAATTGTTATACTGCAATTCAACAATGTTTCATTTGAGTGATACTGTTTACAGTAAAACCAAGTCATATAATATAATCCTTACATTTGATATAGCGCCTTATCACGTCTTCGAGACGTCTCAAAGCGCTTCACAGGATATACTGTAAAACGAATTGACCCTATATTTGTGGGGAAATTGCAGCCAATTGCACACAGCAGCGTCCCACAAACAGCCGTGGATTGAAGTGACCAATTTATTATTGTTTTTAAGGAATTATTACCCCCGGAAAAGCGATCCGCCAATCGATTAAAAACCGGGTTCTTACATACTGCTAGGTAAACAGAGGCGGGTGGAATAAGGAAACTTGCCCAACATTTTGTAACCATCCAGTAAAGCCTGTTGATTCCTGAGACTGAGTAGAACGCAACACGCATCAAGCTGCTACCTGCAAACCTCCACAGAAAGCAGCTTTCACATCACATAATGCAGGAAACTAACAAGTATCGTACATACTACCACAACGCTGGAACCAACCCAGTCAGAGCAACAAAAATCAGCTCATCACACTTTCATACTAATAATCTTTTCTTACATAAATGGTGAAACAGGCTCACTTTACTTCAGTGAAGTAGCTGAAATTGGTCTTTACCAATCAGAGTTCCAAAATAGAAAGTTAAGTTCATCTGATTTATTTCCTGAAGGAGCGATTGATTAAAGGAACGTTAAAGAAGCCAAGAATGCAAGATCCAAAGGGACAAAAATCCAGAGTCTGTTTAGCTGCAGCAAGAAACGATATGGTCCAGTGTGTCTTACATAAATCCTGCATTGTTTCTTTAATTTCTTTCCAAGTATCTGCCTTCAAGCCACAAGCATCATTCTAATGAGATTAGAATGCTGTGGCTACTGGCTTTCACATACGTATGACCAACACAAGTGGCGAGATTACTCTGGTTTAGAACCATTTCTCGCTTTTTTTTGCTGCTGTAATAATAATGTAATAATAATAATCCTTGTATTTCACATTGTTGAGACTTCGCAAAGCACTTCCCAGAATATACTGTAAAGTGAATTGGCGAAATGTTGCAGCCAATTGCACACAACAGTGTCCCACAAACTTTTGAGTGATCAAGTTTTTTTGTGGGAAGGGATTTGTTACTGCCAGAAAGGCAATCAACCTATCGTAAATCTAGATTTGCAAGGCAGGTACCAGGAATGAAGGACCTTGATTATGAGGAAAGGCTGGAGAGGTTAGGATTATTTTCATTGGAACAGAGAAGGTTAGGAGGAGACCTAAGAGAGGTCTTCAAAATCATTTGATAGGTTAGAAAGGGAAAAACTGTTTTCCACTGGTGGGTGTGTTGGTGACTCGAGGTCACAGATTCAAAATCTGTGAAAAGAAGCAGAGGGGAGGTGAGAAGACATTTTTTCAAGCAGCGAGTTGTTCAAATCTGCAACACATTGCCTGAAAGGGCGGTGGAGGCCGATTCGATAACGACTTTTAAAAACGTGGTGGACGGGTATTTGAGGAGGACGAGTTTGCAGGGTTATGGGGAAAGGGCCGGGGAGTGGGATTGACGTTACATTGCTCTTCCAAAAGAGCCGGCACAGAGTCGATGGGCCGAATGGCTTCTTTTTGTGCTGTACGATTCTATGATTCTGTGAACCGACTAACAACAAACTGACAACCGACTGTAATCTAAAGTGCTCCACTCGTAGCTTCATGAAAAAAAAGAAATGAAGCGAGTGGTTTAAAAACTGCTATCCATCCTATACTGATCTGAGAAGGAAAAATAGAAGAATTATCAATCAAGTCGGTTTTATCTTACAGCAGCAACAATGTGAACCTACATTGCTTCACTAACAATTACCTTTAAGTAAAGATATTCTTGAGCTCTGAGAGGGTACAGTGTAGGTTCACATAGATATAGATGATAAAAGAGATGAAGGGCTATTGTTATTACATCTGAAAAATGGGAGGATTAATACAGTACAGAGAAAGTTAAGTGGGAATCTAATAGAGAAATAGACTTAAAATTAGAACCAGGCCATTCAAGAGTGAAATCAGGAGCATTTATTCACTCAGGGTGGTAGAAATCTGGAATTCTCTCCCCCAAAATGCTGTAGATGTTGGATCTATCCACACCTTCAAGAGTGAGGTTGATAGACTTTTTGGTAGGTCAGGGTATCAAGGGATATGGGAAGAAAGCAGGAAATTGGAATTGGCAGGATTAGTTGAGGTACAGATCATTCATAATCTAATTGAATGACGGAACAGCTCGCAGGGCTGAAAGGCCTCCTCCTGTTCCTATGTTCCTAGATCATCACAATTCCGAAAGGTCTTGAGAGGGAAATAATGAATGATTATACTTCCTCGTTGAGGAATTTGAAACCAGAGAGAATCGTTGAGGGAGAAATTTGACGACTTTTTTCATGCAGAGGTTTATTAGAACATGGATACCTTTGGGGCAAGTGACTGTTGAGACCCAAAAACTATTTCAAAGGGAATATGACAAACATTTGACAAGGAAGAATTTAAAAGGCTCCGGTGAAAGAGCAGTGGATTAAAGCAGATAGGGGAAAACTGACAATACATGGATTTAACAGCCTCCTTCACAACAATAACTTCTAAGATTCCGAAAGCCAAAATGTACAATATAAGACACATCTATATGATATTAACTGTATTAAAGGTTGCACTCAGTGATTAATATTAGGACTGAATGTAGCTTGCCTCACGTACAGATGTTTCTTCCAAGTCTGCAGCTGTTCTATTGCAGCTGCATAATTCCAGCACCAGGCGGCGATGTCCCACAGTTCAGTAAACTTACCCACAGTGAAAGTCTCTCCGTGTAGTGACAAGAGGAAGTCATGTTTACAAACACCAACAAGCGTATTTCATTCTACAACCACCTGCTGCGGTTTGGTTTATTTTCTGACACACAGAGAAGAGACCCTGACACAAGCCACATTAAATCCCATTATCCTGCAAGCATTTACAAATAAGATATTATTAACCATTTACATACCGTAGATTCAGTAAGTCCTCCGACTGATACAGTGAGACCCAGCAGAACGTGGTACTGGTAGGTTGGAAGCCCTAGAAGTTTTGTAATCGGGGGGAAGGCTTGCGAGGGAGCACTCCAGTTCAGGGTTTCAGCTTCTGACCTAGAACAGAAAACACAGAGCTCTAGTATTCTATAATAATACTTGCTCTTGATATAGTGCCCCATCACGTTTTTGAGACGTCTCAAAGCGCTTCACAGAATATACTGTAAAGTGAATTGACTGTATATTTTTGGGCAAAACAAATTCCACGTACATGTAAAAGCATGACGTTCATTCATAGGTGTAAAAATCTCAGGTATCTTTATAGATTTCAGTCACCACAAACCTATATATTATTTCTCTAGTAATAATATTCCTCAAAGTTGTTCGAGATCTTTTGGATTAGATGTTAAACCAAATATTCCAGTCACCTATTTTTCAGGTAGCTATCAAAAATCCTATGACCTTTTTTGAAAACAGGTTGGTGTTTCTCCCAGTGTTGTGGCCAACAGAATAGTTGGTCATTTACTTTACGACTATTTGTGGGATTTTTGCTGTGTGCAAATTTTATTTCAGTATTGATCATCAAATTTTGCAACTGGAACTGGGAGTTGTACTAAGCTGTTGGGGGCGGGCGTGTTGGACGTACCTGGGAAAGATGTTCTCTAACTCCTCGCGGTGAGGAACATGTGGAACTGCGGGATTGTCGAAATGTAAGACTCGCAGAAAAACGGAGCCAGCGTGAGCTCGGTACCGATCAATCTTCTCGGCCGACAGCTGGGCCAGGCAGCACATCATTTGCCGGCATCTGCAGGCACAGGGAGGTGATAACATTAGTGCAGCCCCTCAAACCCTTTGGATAAGACAGGACAAGGCATTTGCGCCATTCACCACTGGTGTAAGCACTCTTGAGCTGGACCACAACACGCTGTCTATCAGTCACAGTGCCATGTCCGTCTTTAGAAGCGTGTAACAGGCATCAGTGGCACAAAGGCTTTCAAAAGCTCCTAGAGCCCAACTTGCTGTTGAGTGTTAAATTTTCGAAACGCCTTCCTCATTTTCCTAATACACCAAAAAGTGAAGCACAAAATAAGCTCAGTCGGTCATCCAACAGGAGTGACACTAATCATGGAATGCTTTGACATCAACGCCATGTGACTCCCCACCCCATTCATAAATATATTGGCTTTCGTCCTCCCCCACCCACCCACACAGCTCTGACAGTCTGAGCTGTCCAGCTGCTCATAATCATCTCTTTGCTGGCATTAGACTCTGCATCTCTCAAAGCTGCAGGGAAGTGCAGCTGATGATTCTGACCTCCGTTGTTCCAGCGATGCACTTAGTACAACTGTGACATTCAAACCCTGGCCTTGCGCTCTGGAGCTCTGATGATTGACGTCCTCAATGATTCCACTGCATAAGAAAAGGCATGTGAAGCCATCCTTCATGCAGTTACTTTGGTGCCTCCTGGACTGGCAACCTTCGGAGTTGGGGGATGATGGGGGATGTGGGAAGAGACGAGGAGTGCAGACGTGTCTCTGGAGAAAGCACCCCACCTTTCATTCACAATGCAGAAGGTAGAAAGAGCTAACACATCATGGGCACGTCACACTGTGTTACATCCCAAAAAGTCCAGATCTACATGGACCTAATCTTATGGTATGTGGAAAATAGAGAAGAAAAGCACACATAATCCCCCTCACTAATTCATAGCTTTACGGATCCCTCAACACTATACAGTCAATGAATTCTTCAGCTACATGGATGAGCTGTTTAAAATACTAAATGGAACTAAGGAGGCTTAGTTTTACTCACATGTCAGGAGAGATGAGCTGAGGGTGGCTCTGAACCAGGGTTATTGTTAACTCCATTAAACTTGTCATTGCAGCCTCTCGAACCCTGGTAATAATTTCAATTACAAAGGATTAAGTTTATGACATAATAGCCATCCTGTGAATAAACCTGTTAGTTATAATTTTTTGCAAACTAAAATAGGAAACATCACTGCTTTGAATAAAACCTGATCCTAAACCCATTACATGTATAAGATTAAAAGTACCTCCTGTAGCACTCCATCTGTATTTATGTTATACAACATAATAATAATAATCCTTGCATTTGATACATAATGCCTTTCATGTCAGGAGGACATTCCAAAGTGCTTCACAGGATTTACTGTGGAGTGGAATGACTGTTTGTGTGGGCAAATGCGGCAGTCAATTTACACACAACAATGTCCCACAAACATCGATGATGTGAATGACCAATTTTATTTGGGGAATTGTTGACTTCTCTTTTTGAATAATGCCATGGGATCTTTAAAGTCCACATGATCAGGCAGTTTGGACCTCAGTTTTAACATCTCATCTAATGCAACAAACCCCCAGCACTGCACAGGAGTGTCAGCTTAGACAACATGAGTTCAAGTCCCAATGTGAGGCTTGGATCTTCTGACTCAGGAGGAGACAGTGCCACCACAAAGCCAGACTGACACAGTGAGCATAAACTACCTCCAAACAAATGGGCCACTTTGATCATCACTTTAAGCTCCTTTCAGAGTTAAGACAAAATTAGATTTTGTCCCCACACAAAGCATTATTAGAACAGAACTCTGACACTAGAAAAGCAAAAGCAAACTGGATAAGCATTTGAAGAAGAGCAACATAGAGTATGGGAAGAGAGCAGTAAATTGGATATAGAATGGATAGTTGCAGTTGGGGACTGAGCACAAGATAACTAGACAATCAGTCTCAGTCCATACAACAGGTAATTTTATTCGGAACTGAATAAATTGGCTTTAATACCAATTTGTATTTATATATTCTGTAATAGTTATTTACTATGGAGTAATAGCTTTACTGATTCTGCCATGCCAGTGGATGGTGCTACCATCATACAAACAACAGCTGTAAGTCAATCCTCAATTCATACGATGACAGTACAGCCCAATCATTGGTAGCAATGAGCCAGGTTCCAAATGAAGCGTCTGACACAATAGCATCTCAATGCCTCCGGCGTCAGCACATACAGTTTCCTTTCTCAATAGTGCTGCTGAGGTGAGTTGCGACACTATACACATCATGGTTGCCGAACAACCACGCAAACTTAAGGTAAACAAATCCCAAAGGCCAGAGAAATTGCACCTGAGAATCCTAAAAGCAGATGTTACTTCTATTTTTAAAAAAAGTAGCAAAGGTGACCCAGGAAACTACAGACCAGTGAGTCTAACATCCATTGTGGGTAAAGTTATGAAGACTCTTATTAAAAATAAGATCACGGAGCATTTGGACAGTAATAAAATGATAAATGATATTCTATATGGGTTTATGAAGGGGAGATCCTGCCAAACTAATTTAATGGCTTTCTCTTGACTGTGTGACAAAGGAGCTTGATATGGGTAAGGCAGTGGATGTTGTAAATCTGGATTTCAGTGAGGCCTTTAATACAATTCCTCTTGAGAGGCTGGAACTGAAAATAAAGCAGGAATCGAATCAGTATCTTACAATTGGCTGACCAATAAAACCCAGAAGTTGGTACAGGAAATGTCATCAGGCTGGGAGAATGTTATCAGTGGAGTTCCACAGAAGTCTGTTTTGGGACTTCTTTTATTCAACATCTTCATAAAGGACCTGGAGCTAGGAGTCACAAGCACAGGGGCTAAGTTTGCAGACAACAAAAGCTAATGAAGGTGGTAAACTGTGAAGATGAACAGGACAGGTTACAGGAGGACCTCAGCAGACTTGCAAATTGGGCAGATCGATGAAATCAGTGTAGAGAAATGCAAAATGAGGACAAAAAATCCTGGAAAGGGACGATTATTTAAATAGGAAGAAAATAATCTGTACGAAAATGGGGATCCTGATTAATAATTGAAGCTGTTGCCCAATAGTGAAGCTCTTTGGGACGTCTCAAAGACGTAATAAGGCGCTAGATCAAATGCAAGGAGTATTATTGTTATTATAGCAGTGCTCGGGAGCAGTGAGTAAGGCAAACCAGAGGCTGCGCTGTATTAAAAGGGCATATTGAGCCAAAATAGTGGGACAATCCTGCCACTTTATAAATTTATAAATTATACTTTAAGGCAACCGCACTTGGAATACTGTGTGCAGTTCTGGTCGCCGCAATAGAAAAGGGAGATTGAGAGGATACAGAGGAGGGAAACCAAAATGATTGAGGAGATGGAGGGAATGGACTATGAGGAGTGATTAGATAAACTGGGCATGTTCACACTGGAGAAGAGAAGGCTGAGTGGTGATATGATTACGGTCTTTAAAATTCTGAAGAGACTCGATATTGTAGACCATGTTTTATCTTGTACGGAACAGTAGAACCAGAGGACACGGCCTGCCATTGAAGGGGGTAAATTCAGAACAAACCTAGGGAAACGCTACTTCAGTGAGCGAGTGGTAAACTTAAGGAACCGGCTCCCTAGGGAGACAGACGGTGGAAGCAGAAAATGTCATTTGCTTCAAGAACAAATTAGATAGATTTCTGCTAGAAAATAATACCTGGGGGGGTGGGGGGGATACAGTATATAGTTTGGGACACGACATGTCAGCGACTGCCAGAACGGTGGAAGGCGAACTAGATGGATCTTGGTCTTCTTTCAAGTTGGGAAAAAAATGGCATCTTGCAAAGTGAAAGATGAAAGCGATGAGAATTACGCTCCCAACAATACAATACAAAATTTGCTGGTGCATGACCTTCCCACTGACCATCCAGCAGTGGCCAGTGACAGGAATATCAGGAAACAGCGAGTGGGACACAACCTCCACAGAGAAACTGACACTGCAGGCGGGACTCCATTCCCTTGGATAAAAACAATTCTGCCTCGTCTCTGTGGTGGCGCCAGAGGTGGGGCACCTATCAGCGGTACCGCTTCAAGGCAAACCCAACAGATGACTTCCTCAACTGGTGAATTCGGACACTGTGCAGGAACATGAAATGCAAATCCTCCTGCCATTTCATTATAAAAGTGCCCGAAGCTTCCTTTATCAAATCAGTTACAGAACCGGTCTTCCGTTCCACAGAGATTACCACATTACACCTAGAAACCAGGCACTCAGAATTCTCAAAAGGAAGACAATGTTGAAGACTGATGGTTTTCTGCAATTTTTGATTAGACCCACGTTGGTTATGTTTCACTGTGCTTTTTCTTTTCATGTATATCTCAAAAATACAGGCTATTCAGTCCATCAAATCTTCACTTGTGTTTTTCTCCACACAAGTTATTTGATCTAATCTAAATCTAGCCTCCTGCCCACTACCCATATTCTCGTTGGAATATCTTGTGTTCAAATCCCACGTAAGAATTTGAGCTCAGTCTCGGCTGTAACTCCAGTGAAGCGCTGGGGGAATTATTACATCATTGACCGTACTTTCCTTCAGATGAGATGTTAATCAAGGGCCCTTCTACCTGTTCAGATGAACCCTAAAGATCCCAATGGCATTATTCGAAAAGAGAATTGAGTTTTTCCTTTGACATAGTTCCTAGATAGAATCATCATAGAATTATACCGTGCAGAAGGAGGCCATTCGGCCCATCATGTGCCAGCTCTTTGAAAAGAGCTTCCAAATCAATCCCACTCCCCCACTCTCTCCCCATAGTCCTGCAAACTTGTCCTTCCCAAATAATTATCTACTTCTCTCTCCAGTCTTTCAGGCAATGCATTCCAGATCCCAACAACTCGCTGTGTGAAAAAATTTCTCCTCACCTCCCCTCTATTTCTTTTAACAACTATTTTAAATTGGTGTCTTCAGGTTACCAGTGGGAATAGTTTCCCCTCATAATTTTGAAAACTTGCTATGTCTCCTTTTAACCTTCTCTGCTCCAAGGAGAATAATCCTGGCTTCTCTAGTCTCTCCTGATAACTGAAGTCCCTCATTCCTGGTAATTTGCACCCTCTCCAATGCATTGACATCCTTGTGGTGCCCAGAACATAGTACTCTTAGTTGTGTCATGTCCAACAATCCCTCATGTAAAATTGGTCATTCTCTACATGACTGTGTGTGTGGCATTTCGGTGTGCACAAATTAGCTGCTGTGTTTGCCCACAAATACACATTCACTACACTTTACAGTAAATCCTGTGAAACACTATAAGATGGTTTGATGATGTGATAAGGCGCTGTATCAAATTTAATTTTTGTTAAGCACCTAGCTTGATTTTATACATGCACCCGTATGATTTCAGGTCATTCCAGTACACTAAAGAATCTTAGACACTGTCAATGAAATTATTCTTTAAACTATAAAAGAATAGTTTTATACAGTAATATTTTCACCCACTTTATCAATCAATAACACATTAAAAAGGAGGAAATAAAGGACAGGGATGCGATTCCACAAGAACTTTGACATAGTTCCCTCCTTTACAAAAACACAACTTGCATTTATTTAGCACCCTTCAGGCAGGACAGGGTTTTGGAACACTGCTGCTGGAATAATAACAATAACTATCCTTGTATTTGATATAGCCCCTGATCACGTCTTTAATAATAATAATCCTTGCATTTGATATAGCGCTTTTCACGTCGGGAGGATGTCCCAAAGCGCTTCACAGAACACACTGTAAAGTGAATTGACTGTATATTTGTGGGCGAACGCGGCAGCCAATTGCGCACAGCAATGTCCCACAAACAGTCATATGGATTGAAAATGACCAATTTATTATTGTTTTTGGTTTTAGAGGGATTATTATTAGGTGTGTGGAGTAAGGAAACTTGCCCGAGGTTTCGCCCTCTGCCTGGAATTGAACTCAGGTCTCTCACTTGCAAAGCGAGTGCTCTAACCACTGAGCTACAGGACTCCACAAGTTGTTGTCTTTGAGTTGTCTCAAAACGCTTCACAGAATAACTGTGAAGTGAATTGACTGTATTTTTTAGGCGAAAAATGGGGGT